ACAGCAACATCAGCAGAAATGGTTCGAAAAGTAAAGAAGCGACTAGATCGTAACCCACGTCGCAGTGCCGGAAAATGGCTCGTGAGTTGGACATATCGAAATATTCCATTTGGCAAATACTGAAAATGAGAACCATTGAAATTCCAAAAAGTGCAAGAACTTACACCGCAACCGAAGAAAGAAAATAGACTCAAAAGAGTTAAAGAGTTGCTTCGCTTGGCCGAAAGTGGTAAACTGTCGAATTTTGTTTTCTCCGATGAGAAAAAATTCGTTGTCCAGAAGTTTGTAAACAAACATAATGAGCGTGTTTACTTGCCAAAGAGGTGAGGTGAAAATGTGCACATTCGGTTGGCCACCAGAACTCAAGCGCCGGCCATGGTGATGATGTGGGCCGCCATAACAGCCGATGGTCGGTCTCCGCTCGTCATCATTCTAGCTTCCGATCAAAATAAAGTAGGTTGATAAAAATTTACTCAAATGTATATTATGTCCGAAGGACTTTTGGTATTAAAAATAGGCCATATAGGTCCACGTTTTGGTATAGCCCCCATATAATGGTACCTCCCTTTTTTCGGTATTTTTGGTGATTTAAGCGACATTATTCACCGGAAATGTTTCAAATTTGGTATTTGAAGTTCGTAACGGATGCTTCAGCCTATGGCAAAAAATTATCTGTGCAGGTCCTTGTCTACGTATAGCCCCCCTATAACGGTACCTCACGATATTCGGTATTTTGATGATTTTAGCGACATTATTCACCGGAATTGTTTCAAATTTGGTATTTGAAGTTCGTAATGGGTACTACAGCCTATGGCAGAAAATTGTCTGTGCAGGTTCACGTCTTCGTATAGCTTTCATATAACGGCACCTTCACATATTCGATATTTTAGCGACATTATTCACCGGAATTGTTTCAAATTTGGTATTTGAAGTTCGTAATGGATACTACAGCGTATGGCAGAAAATTGTTCATGCAGCTTCACGTCTTCGTATAGACCCCCCCTATAACGGAACCTCCCTATATTCGGTATTTTAATGATTTTAGCTACATTATTCACCGATTTTTTTCTCAAGTTTCGCATTTGAATGTTGTAATGACTTATCACAAAGGTTGCCTATGCAGGTCCACGTCGATTAAAAGAGTAAAAATACCTCTTTGGGTGTCTCTTGAATTGTTATCAGTACGTTTGCCAAAGGAGAGTGTAAACCTGGTTAGCATACCTCAAAAACCACACAATTAAATTTAAAATTAAATAAAACTGAGGTTTTCAATTAACGCCACGTAAAGACAGAATTAAATTCCATTTTTATTGTCACCCCGCACTGAGGTAGACCACAACCAGCCCCTTCCTGTCCTGTCTTTATCCACTTTTACATGTTTGACATCGTAAATTATGCAAATATTGTTACAACAATTTCAATAAAACCGCCATTTGAAAATGTGTCTTCGTTTTATGTTTTGAAGGGGTCATGTACTCATTTCAAAAAAAAAAAAAAAGAAAAAAAAAAATGAAAACGAAACAAAAATAAAATCTTAATTAATTCCCAATGAAACCCAAATAGAGTGTGACTGTCTAGATTTTGAGAGAAAATTATAAATCATATTTCAAAACAAAAAAACTAAACTGTACACTTTAATGAACGGAATGGAATATTGAAAAAAATAAATAAATTCATATTTCGATTTTGTATTTTTTCTTGTTTCAATTCAGTTTTATTTTGAACTTTGCTGACACCAACCCACCAAAAAAAAGCAACAAAAAGAAAATGTTTTTCTTTTTTTCCTCCATTTCAGCTGATAAGAATTTTGCTGCTGCTGGGTATGGCTGGATGGGTGGATTCACTATTGACTGACTGGCTGGCTTCTGCTGGCTGGCTCGCTGGTGAGTGGTGCTTAAAGTACAACTGCATTATGTATCTATGTGTGTACACATACGTACGTGTCTGTATGTGGCACGGAGGGTACACAGAAAATACAAAATCAAACTGTACATATATGTACGAAAATTCGAATTACACGTCTGGGTTGGATGACAAGCAAGCAGGCAGGCGAGCAGGCGAGCAGGCTCAGAGACACACAAACAAATGAACATTAATTCAAGTTTTAATTCGTTGTCGTCTTTCAGACATACATTCAGCAAAATAAGCTCTACACTGACACATACAACAGCAGCAGAACGAATGATCGACAAATGCCTGCAGCAAGCATGAATAATACAATTTTTTCGTCATTAATTGCATTCACAAAGCTAAGTATTGAGTATTAAATTTTAATTAAATACGAAACTTATTTATAAAGAAGCGTACAATAATTATTATATATCAAGTCAAGTGCATCAATACTCAATAATTTTGCGAAGCATATAAATGTAGGACCTGATATTCGGGATTTTAGCGAAATTTTTTGGCAATTTTCTAGTAGACGGTATTTAAAGTTCGGCAAAATTCCCCCCACCCCCAGAAATTTTTTCATTAAATTTTACAAAAAAAAAAAAATAATAATAATAAATAATTTGACACCATTCCATTCTAACTTCAAAATCACCGTAATACTTCTCTTTTTGAGAAAAGTGTCAAAGGAAGAAATATTCTCCGTCAAAATTCACTATAAGCCACCAAAGACAAGGAACCTCTATTTCCACTGTATCTCAAGAAAATATTTTTATGAACGTTGCCAAAACCTAAATTCGGCAGTTCACCACTTTCGGCCAAACGAAGCAACTCTTTAGCTCTTTTGTGTCTATTGGGGTGTAAGTTCTTCCACTTTTTTGAATTTCAACAGCTTTACCCCGAGCTCATTTTTCAATATTTGCCGAATGGAATATTGCGATATGTTAAGCTCACGAACCATTTTTCGGCCACTGCAACACGGTTTTCGATCAAATGGCTTCTTTACTTTTCGAACCATTTCTGCTGATGTTACTGTTTTCTTCCGTCCATTTCCTTGACGTCGGGCTACGCTACCAATATAACGGTAACCAGCGATGGTACGAGACACAAAAGATCTATTCACATTTAAATGCTGGAGTGCTCTAACGATAGCCACTTGTGGTTTTCCCGCCAAATATAAAGAAATCACACTATCACGCTTGCATTCCATCACGAATAACTTTTTTTCTGAGAAGTTCTCACCGAAAAGCTTTTGTACGCTTGTAAACAATATAATGAGCTGCCACTGGTATCATTTTAACAACTGTCGGATGAGTGGCTTAGAAATGACAGCAGTCTGAAGTTGGTTGCAGTTTTTTTATATCACCCTGGGAAAATTTTTTTGGTACCAAAGTTCGTCTCTCTGTGCGAATTTCATTGCAATTGGACATACATATATATGGGAGCTATATCTAAATCTGAACCGGTTTCAATATAATTTGGCAAATTTATTTTCTGATGAAATCCCGTCACACATTTCCAAATTTCATTGAAATTGAAGGTACATAGAGTGTTTGGTGTATCAAATACATGAAATCGGCTGAAAATATATATGGGAGCTATATTCAAACCTGAACCGATTTCATTATAATTTGGCAAATTTATTTTTATTTCAAATTCCGTTACGGATTCCAAATTAAAAGATCATTTGTGCATATAAAAACTAAATTTTTAAGAGATACCTCCGATTCTGATGCTATATCTCCAGTTGCAATGGAATTTAAAAAATTTATATAGCCTATGTTTCTATCAGGCGATGTTGTATTATGCTTGGTAATTTTTAGGAAAATCTGTGCAGCGGTTTTTGAGTCCATAAATTACAAACATTTTCCTCTCTTATACATATAGAAGAAGAATTTCAAGAAATCTAAAGGACAACTTGCCACTAATCCCCCCGATATTAATTTGAGAAACTATTGATTTTTATATGCGCCATATTTATAACTATATCCTCTAATTTTCCCTCCCAAATAAAATTCAGTGGCCCTTCGCCCGCTACAATATAATGGTTATAGTTTTCGATCAATAAACCCATTATGTTTCTTATTAGCTTTCGAAACTTATGTTCCAAATAATTGCATATTAATATGTTTTTATTTCGTTATGGCAATTTGCTCATTGGTATTTATTTTTATTTATACAAATAACATATCTCTTCATCTCATTCTGCACCTCATCATCGTCATTTTCGTTGCAAGCAAAACATATATTTATGAATGAACCAAAAAAAAACCTAATTTCTATTTAATAGCACAATTTTCACAGAGAGATGTAGACGACGAGTTAATGTGGTGGCAATAAACAGCAACAAAAACTATAGGAAACCTCAAACACCATAACACACGGCCAGCCATTGTTATTTTTTCTGATTTTGTCTTTTCCCATGAGAAACAACAACAACAAACACAACAACTTAATATTGTGGTTGAGAAATAAAAAAAAAAACCCAAAAGGGCGTTACTACTTGGCGAGAGAGAGAGAAAGAGAGATGGATGAATGGTAACCGTAAATGTGTGGTATGTGTGAATGGGAAAAGAAATGTTTACGCCACTGTTATGTGAGAGAGAAAGAGAAGCCAAGCCATTTGTATTGATGGTGAGATATTCGTGTGGTGGGATTGCTATTATTATGTAGGAGAGTGGTAAATAAAGTCTGGTGATCATGAGAGCGAGAGTGAGAGAGTAAAGGAAGAGTGTTCTCTTCCCCACATCAAGGAGTGGAGTAATGCAAATGAGCTGCTGAGATTTAATTTATTTTAATGAGAAATTAAATGAATGGTGAATAATTGTAAGTAAATTTGTATTAAAAGAAGATGAATGTGAAAGATTTTTGTTGGGGGGATTTATACGAAAATGAGAATTTCACTAAATGCTGAGGTTATTTTTTTGTGATTTGTTGGGAATCCAAAGTTGAGCTTAAGGGAGCAATGGATGCTGCCGGATGCAGATGGGCAAACAGTTTTAGTAAAAAACTCTAAACGTTAAGTGAACAACGCGCACGGTTTTAAGTGGAAATTTTTCACATGAAAATTATAGTTAAAAAAAAAATAGAATAAATAAAAATTGAAAAAAAATAAATTGAAATATTTTTTTAATGAATTGTGGAAATTTAGAATTATTTATTTTTAAAATAATAACAGTCAATAAGAAAAATCATGAAATCATGTGTTACCAACAGCAACAACTTAAATCGCAATTTGCCCTTAAATAATAAAAGTAAAACTACAAAAAATCGCCACAATACAAATTCCGCAAATTCCCTATTGACAAATGCGGCCAATATGAAAATAACCAAAGCCATTGTAAATTCGAAACAACAACAACAGCAACGTAAAACCGCAATAACACCAGCCAAGGGATCAAATACGCTCCACGCCAAGTCTACATCATTTGACGGGGTGTCCCACCTTAACAGGGTGGAGGGGTTGAATATGACCGAAGGCCAGGATTTGAATTTGAATGCTATAATCCTTAAAGAGGATGCTTTGCATACAAAGAAAGAGAGCCCAGCCGAGAAAGAGATGGCCTATGGCAGAGAGCAAAGATCAGCCACACAACCAGCAAATACCCATACCCACACACATGGCTTGGCAGCAGCAGCAACAACAACACCACCAACAACGGCGACGGCCAGTAATGAAACAAAAAACTCGTCAATGCCTTTGTATGCAGGAGTAACAAATTCGAGAGAGCATAACAATGACAACAACAACTACAGTGGAAACCAGCAGGCTCTTCAGAGCAATAACAACAGCAACAACAACAACAACGGTAATTCAACTGCCTGTAGTGAGTTTTTAAGGTCTGGCACGAATTTGAATTTATCGTCTTTGGCTACGAAACCACCACAGCTCATATCAGTTGTCAACGAACGATCAAACCAAACAGTGTTACGTACCACGACAGCACCGACGACAATTACGACGACCACGACAAACCCACCAAACGATGACAATGATAATAATATAATAATCAAAGTCAGCAATAATAATAATAACAACAACAGCCAAGTGACCACAAATCGAGAAGATCAACAACCGATAGATTCTCATCAGAATTATCAGGAATCTGTGAAAAAAATCTCAACTCTAAATTTCAACGTGAAAACGAGTGACAATGAAAGTGTTACAACAAATGGCAAATTAGCAACCACAACAACAACAAATACAAGTGCAAATTCGAATCCGAATTCAAATGCCACAATAACAACAAATTCTAGTGATAATACAACAAGCCCAAATAAAACAGTGATAAATAGTGTAATAACAACAGCAACAACAAATCATAACAACAACAACAACAATAGTGCAAAAGAATCTCATTTGAAATCTGAACAAAATAATACCAGTGTCGAACTCCCAACCACCAACCATCATCACGAAGAGAATCTCACGCCACAAAATTATCGCGGCCTTAACAACTCTGTGATCATCACCAACTATCATCAAAACTCTCACGGCATTCAGAATTCCGAATTCAATGCCTCCACGATACTCAATGTTGCCAGCAATGATCCGAATCTAAATTTAGCTGTGACGGGACATAATTTGCAAACGACCTCCGATATTACGGCCGAACATTTGCAGGTTGCAGGTGGCCACAGCGACGAACAGCAACAACAAATTCTACATCATCATCCACAACAACAGCAACAACAACATCCCCAGTCCCTGGCCAATTGTCCACCGGAACACTGGCTGAATGCCGCCTACAACTCCTGTGCCTATGACCTGTCTTTAAATCACCCATCATCGAATTGTGCCGACTTGGGTTTGCAACTTCTACCCTCACCACATCACACACCCCACGGATACTACAATCCCCATCCACATCACCCCCATCATCTGAACAGCAGTAGTCCCCTTACCCCCAGCTATTTACAAGAAGAACACAACGCCACAATGCGTTCCAATCTAGCCCTCTACACAACGCCCTATGGCTCACATCACGAACATCACCTGCATCAGCATGGTCTGATGGGCTCACAGACCACCGGTCCCACCATACATCACACATACGATGAGATCATACAGGACACACTCAAAGACGAATGTCTCGAAGAACATCAGTCGGCCGCGAGCTATTTAACCCTAAATCCAGTAGACATACAATCCCTTAAGGATACCTATCATTCGCCAGGTTTGGGTCAAGAAATAACCCCCCTCACAGCAATTGCCCCCGCCCATCTACAGGCACCGTCGCCCACCACAGCATCACAACATCATCACCTGCATGCCATCCATTACATACAACACAACAATTCGGCCAGTTCGGGTGGAAATTCACCCTCACCCTCGTCGGGCCTATCGCAATCGGGTGGCGACTTGGCAACTCTACAGAATTTCACACAATTGACAAATGCCTCCGCGGGACCAACGGGACATCGTGATATTTACAGCATGCTGAGCGGACCCGAACAGGGACAAATGTTCAGTTTCACCTCACCACCATCACCGGTCCTGGCCAATGGGTAAGTAGGATGAGATGTGTTTTTATTTGGTTTTTCCTCTAGAAAATTAAGAGTTTTGGGATTTGAAAATATTTTCCAATTTATTTTGGAAAAAAAATTTGGATTCAAAATCGTTCAGATTTTTTTTGTAATGTTGTAAAAAAGTGAGTTTCAGAACAGAAAAGGAAAATATTATTTTTGCACAGAAGAGAGAAGAGCTGAAGGGAAATTTTTTAGACGAGCTGAAGGCAGTCTTTATGGACTAGCTGAAGAGAGCCTATTTAGAAGAGTTTAAAGAAATAATTTTAGGCGAGCTCAAGGCAGCCTTTATTAACTAGCTATAGAGAGAGAGTCCGTTTGGAAGACTTGAGGAGTCTTTTTAGACGAGTTAAGATCAGTCGACCCGACGTCTTGGAATCAGTCCTCATAGACTACCTTAAGGGAATCTTTAAAGAGGGACTATTTGATTCTTCATGGACGCCCTCAAGGGATTCTATATAACTAGATGACGGTTGTCTTTGGACACAAAGTGAAGGGCGTTTCATACAGATTTGAAAAAAATATTTCTAAAAAAATGTTCAAGAAAAATATTTAAAAAAAATGTTTTAATTTTTTTTAAATAATATTTTTTTTTTTAAATATTGAAAACCAACAAAACACGATGCAACACAAAAAATAATTACGGAAAAAATCCAGCAGGTTATGAAAATGGTGAAAAAAAGGCACGTGTTTCGGCGTTTTGAAATTTTACATCGAGGGACAAGATCTCCCCCTCTTTCACAAGTTTTTGTAAATTTTCTAATTAAGATTCCTCGGAATCCGTGGATTTTAGGTATATAGTGTTTTCGGCAATATTGCAGATAAAAATACGGAGAATATTTTGGTAAAAAACCTTAACCCTCTAGCGAGCCAAAAAAGGGGTCTATTTGGTACTTTTTTGAAAATATGGTTAAAAACTCCTTACAAACGTCATCGTACCAAGTCAAAATACTCTACAAAACTATTTATCATAAAATTCTTCTATAGGTCCCAGAAGACGTCAAAAGTCTAAAACTTATCTAAACGTCAGGAAATCACATTTATAAAAAAACACATTTTAGGGTTAAAGCCGTACTTTATGAGAGTTTATGTAAAATTATCCTACAAGGCAACATTTTAGAAGGATGACGTCAAAGTCAAATATATTCTTTATCAAATTTTGCTATAAGTCACAAAAGAAAAGAAATATATTTTCATATTAGAAACAAAAAATTCCTGCATCAAAAAAAAAAAAAAATATATTTCCTAATTTTTTGATAAATTTGTCCTCGGACTTTTTCAAGTTGACGGCTAAATGTAACATAAATCTCCATTTTAGGCGGAGTGTTTCAAAAGAGGAAATATTCTACGCAAAATTTCACTATAAATCTCAGAATAAATCATATATCTAGGCTCAACAGGTTTTAAGAAAATTACATCCGAAATCTATGTATTGCAAGTGCAAATTATGTGTTTACATTTTTTAATGCCAAACAAAACACGTTTCCAATATACGTCAAAATCTCCCCTAAAACATAAGTTTTTGGAGAAAATGTCAAAGGTAGACTTATTGTATATTAAATTTCACTATGAGTCACCAAAGAAAATAAGTCTATATTTCCATTACATATCATAAAAATATTGACATCAACGTAACCAAAAAAAAAAGCGAAAAATATTTCCAATTTTTTTCATCGATTTTTCCTTGGACTTTTTTCGAGTTGACGCCTGAAAGTAACATAAAATATCCTTGTAGGTGAAAGGTGTTAAAGGAGGAAATATTCTACACAATATTTCACTATAATTCTCAGAATAAACTATATCTGTAGGTTTAATAGGTTTTATGGAAATTACATTTCAAATTTAATTATCAAGAGTGGAAATTATGTGTTTGCTTTTTTACCAACTAATTTAACACCTCACCAATCCGAGTCAAAAATCTCCCTGTATACTTGATTTTTTGGAGACTGTGTAAATGGCAGAATTATTCAAAATCGAATTTCATTATGAGTCTCTGAACAAACGAAATTTGTATACTTAATGTTTAGCATAGAAAAAATGATATCAATTTTATTAATTTCTGAAAAAATTACCACTATTTCCCAATTCGCTGCGAATTTTCTTATAATTTCTGTGTACAATATCCCTGTCTGGGTTGTGGAAAATGTTTAAAAAACAAGTGACAGCACTCGTTATGTCATTGCAAGGGTCTGGGCCATATTTTCCAATCCCAGGAAAAATTGTTGCAAAAATGAGGGAATATTTTCGGTTTTTTTTATTTTTGATGGAAAATTGATGCGTATATTTTTAGGTTTTACAATGAAAATTGCGGTTTTCTTTCTTCGGTGACTTATATTAAAATTTGATAAGGAATATTTTTTATCTATTACAAAATTAGATTTCAAAAAATCCTAAAATTTTTCATTAAAACACCGGCAGTCTCATTTCCAATAACAATTTAAAGTAAAGCTTTCATTTGGGCGCCATTCATAAAAATATCCATTTTGCCGTAAAGAGCCTTTGGCGGGTGAGTTGCATGGGTGTTTAGTAAAAATATAAATTGCTGGCAGTCGTTAAACCTAAAAATTTAGAAAAAAAATATTTATTGCCCCACGTTGGGCGCCATCAAAAAAAATAAAAAAATATATAAATAAATAAATAAATATATATTCAACAAATCAATGGTTTTACAATGAAAATGAAGATTTCCTTTCTTTGGTGGCTTAGAAATGACAGCAGTCTGAAGTTGGTTGCAGTTTTTTTTATCTCGCTCTGTAATAGAAGCCCTTTATAAAACAGTAAATAATATTTCAGTTCACAACATTCCGACTATTTTTTCTCAGTGTATATCCATATGGAAATAACTAAAATATAAAACTAAATAATAAAATTAAAACATACCACAAACCAAAAAAAGAAAAACAAGGCAAAAATACTCTACACATACCTTCGACCACAAGAGACCCACAGGAGGAAACTCTGCAGTAAACAAATAAACATTTTACGTTACAATTATTTTTGCCAGTAACAAACGACGCCAGCAACCACGACCGCATCGCGATCACCTTCTATGTGAAATTTTACAAAAAAAAAAAAAAAAAAAAAAAAAAAAAAAAAACGCTTTCAAATGTGTGTGTGTGAGTAAATAGAGTAGAGTAATTAAATTTACCAAATATGTGTGTAAGTATGTATGCGGTAACCCACAATTAGCTACATACATATGTTAAAGGTAAATGTTTCAATAACATTTTTTCACACTGCGGGTTCACACACACACAGAACACCACCGCGCTTTTATTTGACACAACCAACCGTCTGGACGAGTTGCAAACCTAAATAAACTAATAAAATATATACAGACAGACATACATACATACTTACATGTCTATAGATGTCTGTACACAAATTCCCATATTTGTCTACAGTGACCACCGCCGCCGCCACCACCAGGGTCTAGTCAATTAGCCTTAGCTTTGCTGAAGTTTTTTTTTTTTTGATTTTTCCTTCGAATCCAAGTAAATTAAGTTGAGTCGTTTTCAATAACATCAGCTCTCAAGTTACCTGAGTCGTCTCTCCTTTTGCCGGAGCTGAAATGGCAGGCCAAAAAAAAACTGCATTTAAGCAAATATTTTAGTGGTCATTAGACCAGAAAAATAAAGAAATTTTTTTTCAATTTTTTGTGGGTTACACCTGGTAGTATTTTGAAAAATGGAGTTTTTCATTTCGAAGAACGTGTTCAAATTAACATTCAGTTTCAACACCCCCTTCAAAAAATTGGGTTTTCATTTAAACTCCCGCATAAGCTGCGGAAATAGTAAAAATTAGTTTGGTGTGCTTAGCCAGAGTTTTTTTTTTCACATGCCTCACTTGCTTTGTAAGTAGGGGTCTTGGCCAGTTGGGCGCCACAATTAGAGCACGTGTCCAAAGACCAAATGCTTTTTGCTCTATTTTCAATTCAAGCTAAGAATTTTAAGAGAAATGAGGGCGGAATTTAGAAGAAAGAGCCCAAACGAAATAAGGTAACATGGGACATTTTCAAAAGGTACACAAGTACAGAAAAGTGGGTACCAGACCTGTGAAAAAATTAGCTCGAATTTAAACAAAGAGAGAGAGAGAGAGAAACTCACTCTAATTCGAAAGAGAGCGTTGAAAATCGAAATGAGTCAAGTTTTTTTCTTGCTTAATTTTTAATTTTTAACGTCTCCAATAAACGATTTTTTTAAAATTCCAAAGAATTCATATTTGAACACTCCATACAGGAATATGGGAAAAACAAACATTTAGTGCCCCACGTTGGGCGCCATCTAGAAAAATTCGTTTTTCGATTAGCTTAATTTTTAAGTTTAACGTTTCCAATAATCGATTTTTAATTCAAATTCCAAAGAATTCATATTTGAACACTCCAATACAGGAATATGGGGAAAAAACCTTTGTGTCCCACGTTGGGCGCCATTTAGAAAAGATCGATTTTTAATCCATTACAATACTAGATTTCACAAAATCCTCAATTTTTGTCATTAAAAACACCAGCAGTCTCATTTCCTATAACAATTTTAAGTAAAGCTTTGATTTGGGCGCCATTCATAAAAATATCCATTTCGCCGTAAACAGCCTTCGGCGGGTGAGTTGTTTGGGTGTTTACTAAAAATATAAATTGCTGGAAGTCGTTGAACGTAAAAATTTGGAAAAAATATTTGCTGCGCCACGTTGGGCGCCATCCAAAAAATAAATATTTATTAAACAATAAATATTTATTAAACAAGGTTGTTCATTTTAAATTTTGTTAGGCTTCGACAAAATATTTGCCACACTCATAAAATAACAAAAAAAAAAAAAAAAATATTTTCAAAATTAAAACCCAAAAAATTAAAATAGGGTTTTGTTCAAAATAGTTACGTTTTCTAAGGGACTACAAAAAAACATTCATCAGGAATCTGGGATTTGAAGATATTTCCAAAAATATATTTTCTCCTAATATCCAAAAATATACTCCTAAGCCCCAG